ATGATGGAGGCCACTGTGTTCTTGGGGACCTTCAATGCTGCAGACATTTTTTGGTACCCTTCCCCAGATCTGTGCCTCCACACAATCCTGTCTCGGAGCTCTATGGACAGTTACTTCGACCTCATGGCTTGGATTTTGCTCTGACATGTACTGTCAACGGTGAGACCTTATATAGACAGGTTTGTGCCTTTCCACCATGTCCAATCAATTGAATTTACCACAGGTTTACCGTGGTCCTCTGTAGCTCAGCTGGTAGAGCACGGCGCTTATAACGCCAAGGTAGTGGGTTCGATCCCCGGGACCACCCATACACAAAAAAAAAATGTATGCACGCATGACTGTAAGTCGCTTTGGATAAAAGCGTCTGCTAAATGGCATATTATTATTATTATAAGTTGTAGAAACATTTCAAGGATGATCAATGGAAACAGGATGCACCTGAGCTCAATTTCTAGTCTCATAGCAAAGGGTCTGAATACTTATGTACTGCTAAAATTTCTAAAAACCTGTTTTCGCTTTGTCATTATGGGGTATTTGTGTGTAGATTGACGAAGATTTTTTTATTTAACCTCTACGGGATCGGTGATCCGTATACGGGACGGTTGAGCTAACGTGCGCTAATGTGATTAGCATGACTGTTATAAGTAACAGCAAACTTTCCAGGACATAGACATGTCTAACTTCTTGTTAATCTACCTGCACTGTCCAATTTCAGTAGCTATTACAGTGAAAAAATATAATGCTATTGTTTGAGGAGAGTGTACAACAACTGTAATGAATACTCAGGGAGAAAATTTTGTAGATTCACGCGCAGAGCGCGGCAGGTGGCAGGAATCATGGTCACAGGCAGGCAATGGTCATACACAGGTAGGCAAACAGGCAGGAGAAAAAACTAGGACTGAAGGCTATAACTGGTTCTCACAAACGAGCTAGAAAAAGGCTTAGTAGAGTCAAAACAAACAATACCTCACAAGGCACAAACAGAATGAACTGAACTAAATAAGGAGCTAATGAGACCAGGTGATTAACTAACAGGTGAAATCAATGAACAAAAATGAAAGACAGGGCTACGTTCAAGAACACAAAGAAACAGGGCTACTTTCAAGAACACAGGGTTGACTAAGAAAATAAATACAGAACCTTACAACAACAAAACACTTATCACGGCAACTGGTTTGATACATTCACCTCTGAAGGTAAATAATGTACTTGCGTTCAGTATTCTTGCTCTGATTTGTCATCCTAAGGGTCCCAGAGATAAAATGTAGCATAGTTTTGTTTGATAAAATCCATTTTTATATTCAAATGTAGGAACTGGGTTCTACAGTTTGAACCCTTGCTGTCTCTGGCTCCACACCCACCCCGCCCGGCCATCTAGATGTGTGAAAGTTTGTGTATAGCTAATGATCCATCATGTATGACATTCCTGGGAGTGTGTAAACTTACATTTTGTATTACCATACCATTTTTGTATGTTCTCTATAGTTATGTACTTGAAAATGTATCAATTGACCAATTTGGCACATTTGGGCAGACTTGATACAAAATAGTCCAGTATTGCAATGCTTCACTGGATCAATCTGAGACTTTGCACACACACACTGATGCCATCTAGTGGCCAAAATCTAAATTGCGCCTAAACTGCAATATTATATTGTGGCCTTTCTCTTGCATTTCAAAGATTATGAAAAAATAAGAAGAAGAAAATGCATGTTTTTTTGTTTATATTATATTTTACCAGATCTAATGTGTTTATATTCTCCTACATTAATTTCACATTTCCACAAACTTCAAATTGTTTCCTTTCAAATGGTAGCAAGAATATGCATATCGTTGCTTCAGGTCCTGAGCTATAGGCAGTTAGATTTGGGGGTGTCATTTAGGCGAAAATTGAAAAAAAGGGTCAGATCCGTAAGAGGTTAATCAATTTTAAAATAAGCCAGTAACATAACAAAATGTGGAAAAAGGGAAGGGGTCTGAATACTTTCCAAATGCACTGTATATATAAACCAGAGCAGTGAAATGTGTTGCTTTACAGGATCAGCCATAGTAGTACGGCGCCCCTGGAGCAAATTAGGGGTTAAGTGCCGGTTAAGTGCCTTGCTCAAGGGCACATTGACAGATTTTCACCTTGTCGGCTATAGATAACCATTTCACACAATCCATCTCCTAGCCTGACTGTGTGGGTATCATACCATATGATCTCTTTAATATTAGATAATCGGCGGAGCAGAAAAGAGATGACTGGTGTTGGGGGTGAGAAGAAGAGGGGGTTGGGGGTGAGAGGAAGAGGGGGTTGGGGGTGAGAAGAAAAGGGGGTTGGGGTGAGAAGAAGTGGGGGTTGGGGGTGAGAAAAAGAGGGGGTTGGGGTTGAGAGGAAGAGGGGGTTGAGGTTGAAAAACTGTTGGGAGTTTGTGGCTAATTGAGGTAAAACAGTAATTCTGCTCATAGTTTAAGCATGTATGAACTACACATTGACACATCCAGCCCAAAGTGTGAGGTGTAAAAAATATTTAGTAGTCGCCAAAGTTCCGGAGCATGTTTTTAATGAGGCCACATTGTTGACAAAAAAGACCTCCAAAAAGTAAATAAATCCATACAGCCAAATAATAATTCATAATAGAACAATAATGTATTTCCATACATAGACATACTGTATATTTCATATCAATATTAATATAATCCAAGTTTTTCTCATAATAGCAGGAACAAGTATCATTAATCACCCACGGACTGGTTTATAATAATGGACTATTCCACCTTGAAAGTTCCTGTGCATTGTTTCAAGCGATATGGTTGCAAACGTGACATTAATTGAAATGAATCTGCAGCAATGAGGCGCTTTCAGAACGGGACAGAGACAAGACAAAGAAAGAAAGAAGATTGAATTTGAACAGATAAAAGTAAATTAACACATTTCTTGGGGATGAGAGGATGAGGAAGTTGGGGTTTGAAGAAGAGTGGGTTGGGGTTTGAAGAAGAGGGGGTTGGGGTTTGAAGATGAAGGGGTTGGGGTTGGGAAGAAGAGGGAGTTTGAACAAGCTAATGACGAACAAAGCTGGTTGGTTTTTTTGAAGGTTCAAAATGGTGCTTGGGTTATCAACTGGTCTGGGAAGAATGGGTAGATTAGACACACCATTGAGATGTGGGGCACCCCCCTCTAAGAGATATTGTCCATAACTTATTCTATCAGTTTTTCCCTCCAATGCAATGCGTGTACAATTACTGTATGTCGAACGTTGGTCTTAAAATATGTCTCAGGGATTCACTGTATATAATGCTTTTCTTCACACACTGATTTCTAGGAGCACCCACGGATCAATGAAAGTGAATTCCATGAAGTACTGCATTGTTCTGTTTCGATTTGTCAGCCATCTGTGTTGAAGTTGTTCAGTGTTCATTTTGTGGTTGAAGCAATATACAGTATGTGTCTTAACAAATGGTATTAGATATTTGTATCTGTATCTTTACAATTGGATTATTGTTTTGTCCTGAAACAGGAAAAATGAAATAATCAAAAGCTAAATTTGAAGATATTTTTTATCTGAAGACACAGTCCACAGACCATACCATATGGGGTCAGGTGTGTATGTTTCCCTCATGTCTTTCTCACGAGTCAGCATATGAGGGGATAGAATGAGGACAGGTGGTATTGATTGATTACATAAACTTCCCAGCAGCAACTGTCTATTTACAGGTCAAAGGTCACAGACTCAGCTAGGGCCGATGAACCTCAGGCTACGCAGGTCCCTATCCTCTACTGGGAAAACGTTTTAGCTCAGGATCCATCCAGATCACTGTTCTTGACAGACAGCAGTCTACCTGGCAATACACAGATTTAAAATGCTAGTCCATTGGAAAATTTGGAAAATTCTACATCAAAGAAGAATGGCAATGCTGACATGGGGCTATCTAACCCAATCAATGATTTGAGATGATCACAATCAAGATGAGATATCAGTCGAAATGCATGCAGATAAACCCATGCTTGAGACATCAGCCTAGTATAAACTGTTCAAAATTATGACATAACATTTATTTTTAATGCTGTTGGGAGACGGTTTTATTTCATGAAGATGCATTAGACAACTTCCAGAGACATAACGATGGTATATCACTATCACCAGACCAGCATGGACATCAGTATGATTTTAAGCCAACTGCAAACACAAACACACACACCTCTGCTATAAGGTATACAGTTGATACAAAAACACATGTAGACAAAATGGCCGACACTTGAATGCCACAACTGCAAACCGCAAAGTCAGATACAGATATGTTTTGCCACTTGTTAAAGCATGAGAGACAAAAACCTTTCTTAAATCTCCTCAGATGTCCTTCACAATCTTCCTCTTTTTCCCTCTCTCCCTCCCTTTCCCTCCCTCTCTGTAGTTCATTTGGGGCTGGGATTGGTGACCTTGCCCATGAAGACGATGCTCTTGGTAGAGTCCTCCAGGATGAAGAGCAGGAAGGGCCTGTTGAGCATGATGGTGTCTGGGAGAGACATGGGCATGATCTCTGTCGTAGTGACAGCGGACGCCTCAGTCCCCTTCTCATCTACACTCAGCACAGCCTTGTGGGTAACCTGGGGAGGGAACAGGAACATGTTAATTTGTTGAACTTGACACCACTGTCCCCTACGTGGCCTATACACATAATAGAATATAATAGAATGGAATAGACCCTTAGTAGTCCAACAGAGACAGACATTCTTCTTCTATTTTGCTCCCAATTCCCTCAGACAGACAAGAGAAGAGACAGACATGAGATGGATAGGACTGATCATTAGAACCCACCTTGGACACCTTCAGTTTGGTTTCCTCAGAGATGGCAGAGAAGTCAGCTGTGTTACCGAAGGCACTGACCACACCCATGTCCTTCAGATGGTCTCCCAGGGAGTAGGAGGTAGAGGTAGAGAACTTTGGCATGAAGATATCCACGTTGCTGAAAGAGACATTATCATTTTCATATACTCAGTTTATACTATCAGCACAAAGAAACGTGCATGATCCTGCTGCTTGCAAATGCAAGCCACATTAAAATGTTAATCTGCATTAAGAATCTCTTTATATGATACCATCTGATACTCATTGCAAACTTGGTCTTGTCAGTTGATTAACAAACTACCCTGACCTTATGTTAAGAATAGATACAAATAAATCATACATAAAGAATAGGTTGCGTTATACTGAAAAGGTGTCCAATAAAAAAAGTTCTAAACAATCTACTCTCCTTAACTCCTAAAGAGGCTGCAGTACTAAAGTGACCGTATACCATGAATTAATAAAGAAAGTTACATTAGAAAAGTGTATAAAATCAGGTGTTCTCACGTCCTGAACAGATGCTCGTGCACGTGCTTCAGGTAGTCCTTGTTGATGAAGGCCTCCACATGCTCCATCTTGCCGTCGTTGGGCAGGACCACCATCATTGAGGAGTTGCCTTTGTAAGGCAGCATGACCACGGTGGTGAAGTTATCCTGGTCCTGGTACAACTCATAACGACCCGTCCTCTTCATCATGTCCACCTGCACCTTGGTGTTCTCGTCCACCTTGAAGTCAGCCTTGTGGGTCAGCGTGGCATCGAAAGGCTTATCCCACTTCCCTGGGGAGGGAGGTAGAGGACATTGTTACTAAGGGGTAGTAAACATGCAAGCAGAAACAGACAATGTTATTAGCCTATATTGTTTTTAGTTTGTCCTGCATACATTTTCTTTTAATTCTTTATTGACACATCTTCTGTTTACCGTGTGTGGAAATCAGTTAGTCAGTCAGTCAGTCAGTCAGTCAGTCAGTCAGTCAGTCAGTCAGTCAGTCAATTGATCAATGATTTGTATTCTATCGTTGTTCTTAAATCCAACAATAAGTGCCTGACCATTTTCTCCTACTACAGTGTCCTCCTCCTACCTCTGAAGAAGACGTAGTTGATGAGCACCATGGCCGTATCAGGGTCCAGATCCTTCACCATGTCCGTGATCTTGTCCTGGGTCTTCTTGGCGATGAACTTGTTGATCTCGGCGGCAGCCTCAGCGGGGTTCTTAAAGTCGACAGTGAAGCCTTCGCTGGCGTAGAAGTGCTTAGCGTCCTCCAGGAACTTGGCCAGGGGCTTGAAGCCGTCCCTCAAGGCCAAGGCATTGCCCATGTCCAGCTGCATGGCCTCCCCAGTGTGGCCCAACATGTGGTTCAGGTGCTCATAGGCCTTGTTCACCTGGTCCGGTGTGAAGGCTCCGTAGCCCAGAGTGGAGTACAGCTGACTGTGGGTGTCTCCCTTAGCCCCAAGGGACAGCATAGCCAGGCTAGTGGCAATGCCCAGAGGAGAGAAGAAAATGTTCATGTTCTCGGTGTTGGCTTTGCTCAGGCTCCTGTAGAGGGCGAAGGCGAAGTCTGCGTTGTGGGGCGCCAGCTTGTGGCAGGACTCTTCGTCCCCGTGGCCGTGTCCGTGCTGGGGGTGGGCCTCGCCGGCGGCGTGGTGGAGGTGATGGTGGTGGTCTTCTGTGTGACCGGCGTGGTCCCCGTCGTGGGGCGCCGCCCAGGCCACGCAGAGCAGCACAGCCACTATCGCACAATAAGATATACCCCACATTTTATCTACCTGGGGAGAAAGAATGGACAATGTCATTACTACTCTGCACAGATTTTAAAAACCATTATGCGGTACGTGTTATTACCATACTTTAAGTAAAGTGTAACCCGTACTCTAATACCTATCTAGAAATTACAACAGTATGACTTCCTTAACTCTTTTAGCCATGTCATGAGGTTTGTCACTTGTTAAACATGGTTTCAAAATGACTGAGGTGATGAAATCCCTAAATCGTACATGTTCATAAAATCAGCAAATATAAGATATACAGTACTGTATGTGTTCATTATAGCCTCACATAGGAACATTTCCTGGGCACAGACTTAGATTCACTTGTATTATCATTTCACCTTGCAAACACCTACTCACTCTCCCAGATTTAGCATGTAATACCTATCATATCTAGGTACTGCTAACTATCATAACTAGGTACTTATTATCTTGACTAGGGTTGCAAAATATCAGGAACTTTCAATAAATTCCCTGTTTTTCCAGAAATCCTGATTGGAGGATTCCAGATTTCCTGCTTATTCCCTCCTGATTCCGAATATCCTCCAACTGGGACTTTTGGAAAACTATGGAATTTATCTGAATTTTGCAACCCTAATCTTAACTAACTATGATCTAACCGAACATTTTCAAGACCTTAAAAAATGCAGTGACATAAAGATCAGTTCTTACCTTCAACCTCCTCTTTGCCGGAGACAATGTGTCAGGAACTCTGTCAATTTATGGTCCTGAGAGGATCAGCTGATCACATTTAATAAATTATTAACCAGACACGCCTCCCTTTACTGACCTGGCTGAACAGGAGATTAATCTGGCCAGGCTGACTAGCCTACATGTAATGATGCAACATGACTCAATACCCAGTACTCTACAGCAAAGCACTAAAGGATTTTCCTTTGTCACAATAAGTTGTTGGTAAATGTAGGTGATCTTACTCATGCCTCGCAACACTTTTCATCAGTGACACATGATTGCTCAGAGCTCTTATATTTTAACACCATCACAAACTGATATAATAAAGACAACAATCAGTTGAATTGGAATTAACATGAGAAATAAATTGCAATTTTTTAAAATCAGACAGCAGAATGGCATGTTTTATTATTATTACTACAGTATATTAGAATGACTTTGTGACACCAAATCTTGTGTCGTCTCTCAGATCTCTCCTGGCCGCTCTGTGCTAGTAACATTCCAGAACCCCTGTAGACCAGTAGCTGTTCAACTAGACTCCATATTGGAACCACCGATTGGCTTATGATGGTGATCTGTCACTGTTGAAAGCTGGGAACAGATTATTGAGCTGGCCACTCATGACTGATCTGCTGTCTGATGCATCTTGTTCTATTCTACTCATCATTTTATCTCTCCGAGTTTGAAATATCACAATGTCATCTGCAGGACGCCAGCATGAAAGAATAGAATGATATTCACACTCAAAGCTTTGCTCTCTGTGTGTGTCATTGTGAAATGTTTGATTCTAGAACTCCAGCTTGTTGTGTAGCCTAAGGATAAAATGAGCTTAAAACCTTTGCTGTCTCTGTCATTAAAATGATTGTCAATTCTGGTGGTCACACTGAGAGAGCTCCAGAGTTCCTCTGTGGAGATGGGAGAACCTTCCAGAAGGACAACCATCTCTGCAGCACTCCACCAATCAGGCCTTCATGGTAGAGTGGCCAGACGGAAGCCACTCCTCAGTAAAAGGCACATGACAGCCTGCTTGGAGTTTGCCAAAAGGCACCAAAAGGACTCTCAGATTATGAGAAACAAGATTCGCTGGTCTAATGAAACCAAGATTGAACTCTTTGGACTTGAACCCGATCGAACATCTCTGGAAAGACCTGAACATAGCTGTGCATTGATGCTCCCCATCCAACCTGACAGAGCTTAAGAGGATCTGCAGAGATGATTGGGAGAAATTCCCCAAATACAGGTGTGCCAAGCTTGTAGTGTCATACCCAAGAAGACTTGAGGCTGCAATCGCTGCCAAAAGTGCTTCAACAAAGTACTGTATACTCATGTAAATGTTTTTAGTTTTATATAAATAAGCAAAAAAATCTTAAAAATAGTTTTTGCTTTGTCATTATGGGGTATTGTGTGTAGATTGATGAGGGGAAAAAACTATTTAATCGATTTTAGAATAAGGCTATAACGTAACAAAATGTGTATATCATATCACTGTATATCATATATATCATATAATTTCTACCATCACACACCAATATCTGATTTATCCTGACTATGCACAGCACAAGTAATCAGATCCCATTCTGTTTCATTTAAATGTTCCACATCCCTCTTCAGGGCTCAAGGGCCTATGGAAATGATTGCAATGCCAATACCACTGTAGAGGAGGGGTTTTTACCAGGGGGGTTGAGTTTAGCTGCTGGCTTTCTCCAGAGAAGACGTTCTAATATGTTTTTCCTGGCTTTGTGGTGTAGTGACACACTTAATAGTAGAGAATGAGTAAGAAAAAATACATGACCTTCCAAACATTCGATTCATTTAAGACTTGGATGTGTAAAGCAGTCTAATGAAGTACGAGACGGATGTGGCTTCATTTGGCTCTAAATTGCAAACTCAAATGGATAGAGAATTACAGTAACTGAACACAGAGAGGAGTGGGGCGATGCCTTAGTCAACTGAAGACACAACACTGCCACCTGGCGAAGAACAGGGATAGGTGTGTGTGTGTGTGTGTGTGTGTGTGTGTGTGTGTGTGTGTGTGTGTGTTTGTTTGTTTGTTTGTTTGTGTGTGTGTGTGTGTGTGTGTGTGTGGATCTTCTATCCTTGTGGGGACCTAAAATCCCCCAAATTCTCTACAAAGATATTAAAACAAGGAAAATTATCCTTTGTGGGGACATTTCCCACATTCCCATGAGGACTAGGGTTAGAATTAGAGTAAGGGTTTAGTGGTTAGGGTTAGGTTTATGTTTATGTTTAGGTTTAGGTTTAAGTTTAAGTTTAGGGTTAAGGTTAAGGTTAAGGTTAGGGTTAGGGTTATGGTAAGGATAAGGGTTAGGGTTAGGTTTAGGGTTTGGGGTTAGGGAAAATAGGTTTTTGAATGGAAATTAATTGTAGGTCCTCAAAAGGATAGAAGAACATAATGTGTGTGTGTGTACGTGTGCATGTGTGTGCGTGCATGCGTGCGTGTGCGTGTAGTGTGTGTATGCGTGTGTGTGTGTGTTACATATCCTCCAAGCCGACATAGACCAAAACTGGTCTCTTCTTGGAAAACTAATACATCTTATTTGAAATTCTCCCTCTTTGAAATCTAATGCCATATAACCACCCCATTCACTTCAACAACATCTCCAGAAAGGACTCATTTTAAAGGCCCAGTGCAGTCATAAAACGTGATTTTCCTGTGTTTAATATATATTTCCAAACTATGAGGTTGGAATAAAACTGTGAAATTTAGAAATTGATATTGCCGTTTTAGTGTAAGAGATGTTTGAAAAGACAGACTGAAATTTCAGCCTGTTTTGGTGGGATGGAGTTTTGGCCTGCCTGGTGACATCACAAGGCAGTAAATTAGTTAATAGACTAATAAGAAAGAGAGTTCCAAATCTCTCTGCCAATAACAGCAAATCTTCAGTTTTCCCCTCCCCACTCAGACCACTCCCAGTCCGTCCTAGCAAAATTCTTGTTTGAAAAATTGCTATTTGCTAAGAAGCTATTTGTGTTTCTTTTTGACCATTTTAATTGAAAACAATCATAGTAAGGTACGTAATTGGTACCCAGAAATGATTTGATGTTGAGATAAAAATGGCTGAATTGGACCTTTAACAACGATCTCATCATACCTATTAATCATCTCAGACAATTATCTGATTCTGTCTGGACTTGTTGTATGTTTTTCATTACATCTCCTAATCAGGCCCATTAAATGCAGAATGTGTCTACCGTTTAAAACGTTTAACATAATTTGAACATAGTTTAAAACAATATTCTCTGGGAACTCTGACATGGACTTCTTTCTAAAACGGATCAAAATGCTGACTCAAAGAGGTTAGAAACGTAGTGGTAGGACTGTAAAACTTCAAAACATAGTTTGCTTTACATGGTCAACAGCTGAGCTGATCCAGGATACACTGACTGAACAAACCATCAAACAAAAGGCTCAGGCAGAAAAAAAATTGATGGAATAAAAGCACCATTAGAGGCTTATACTGAACAAGCTTTCAGGAAAACTAGAGAGAGTTCTCATTAAATGTGCCCCAATGTCTTTATCTGTCAGACTGCTGCAGCCTTCAAGAAGAAGAAGGTAGACAGAGGACCAACCCACTGTGCACAGACATCAACTCAACATCTATTCCACGTTGGTTCCACATCATTTCATTGAAATGATGTGGAAACAACATTGATTCAACCAGTGTGTGCCCAGTGGGAAGTTATCTTCACCTTTGTTCTTTCTCTCTTCACAGTTCTCTCAGACAGAGACTTGCGTAATCTGTTTCTCCAGTCTCTCTGACCATGCAATGATTTGAGGTCTTATGCAACCATGGGCGGGCCGCAGATTAAAACTAAAGGCTTGATGGGACAATGGTGCGACAAACAAAAAACATCCAGTCAGTGGCAGTCCTATGGGCTAATTGATGAGAGAGGTCGAACAAGAATGACAAGAATCGTGCAAGCTAACAGGCCAAACTGACAAATAATGGCGCAGTAGAACAGTGGTGTGCAGAACAACATCTTGGAATGTACAACTCGTCAGTCCTTGTCACGGATGGGCTATTGCAACAAACGACCACACCGGGTTCCACTCCTATCAGCTAAAAACAAGAAGAAGCTGCTCCAGTAGGCACGTGATCACCAACACTGGACAATTGAGGAGTGGAAAAACATCACCTGGTCTGACGAATCCCGGTTCCTGTTGCGTCATTCTAATGGCAGAGTCAGGATTTGGCATCAGCAGCATGAGTCCATGGACCCATCCTGCCTGGTGCAGGCTGGTGTTGGTGCTATACTGGTGTGGCCATAAAGGCCTGATTGGTGGAGTGCTGCAGAGATGGTTGTCCTTCTGGAAGGTTCTCCCATCTCCACAGAGGAACTCTGGAGCTCTGTCAGAGTGACCATCAGGTTCTTGGTCACCTCCCTGACCAAGGCCCTTCTCCCTGATTGCTCAGTTTGGCCGGGCGGCCAGCTCTAGGAAGAGTCTTGGTGGTTCCAAACTTCTTCCATTTAAGAATGATGGAGGCCACTGTGTTCTTGGGGACCTTCAATGCTGCAGACATTTTTTGGTACCCTTCCCCAGATCTGTGCCTCCACACAATCCTGTCTCGGAGCTCTATGGACAATTCCTTCGACCTCATGGCTTGGATTTTGCTCTGACATGCACTGTCAACGGTGAGACCTTATATAGACATGATTGTGCCTTTCCACCAGGTCCAATCAATTGAATTTACCACAGGTTGACTCCAAGTTGTAGAAACATTTCAAGGATGATCAATGGAAACAGGATGCACCTGAGCTCAATTTCTAGTCTCATAGCAAAGGGTCTGAATACTTACAGTGGGGAAAAAAAGTATTTAGTCAGCCACCAATTGTGCAAGTTCTCCCACTTAAAAAGATGAGAGAGGCCTGTAATTTTCATCATAGGTACACGTCAACTATGACAGACAAAATGAGAATTTTTTTCTCCAGAAAATCACATTGTAGGATTTTTAATGAATTTATTTGCAAATTATGGTGGAAAATAAGTATTTGGTCAATAACAAAAGTTTCTCAATACTTTTTTATATACCCTTTGTTGGCAATGACACAGGTCAAACGTTTTCTGTAAGTC